CCTACCCCCAGACTCATGAGTAGAAAGGACCCCCCAGAAGTGTGAACAAGTTCTAGCTTAGATGTCTTCAAAGACACCAGAAGTCCTTCCTGCGGCTTCCCCTCCACCCTGTGCTCCTGGACTTAGGCACCCAGAGACTCTTTGTCTCTTTCCCCTTCTCAGCAATGACAGGTGTGTTGTTCCACAGACTGGCTGACTTTTAGGCATGTCTGTGGGGGACTGTCTTGACTGCTAACTGAGGTGGAGAAATCCAGTCCACTGCAGGCAGCACCATTCACTGTGTTTGGGTCCCGGACTGTTTAAGTGTAGAGAAGGTGAATTGAAATGTACACCAATCGGGGCTCAGTTCAGTTAAAGAGGCAAATTATAATGGAAAGCAGAGAGAGGCGTTTTGCTCGGTGTGGTCACAGTGTGAAGAGGGGCAGAGAGGTTCACTGACCCTCCCCAACTCCACCTTCTGGGCTCCTAACAGGGGTTTAGGTTTAGGGCAGCATGAATGCTTAATTAAGAAGCGCTGGTCAATCAAGGTGTGGTCCCAGCCACTTGACCCATCTTTATCTGGGCTCCAGTCTCCTCTGCAATGAGGTCTGACAAGTTGGAACTGTCTGAAATCTCTTCCTGGGAGGTAAGTTCACTCTCTGGCAGGCACTAGGCTTCAGCCCTTTTCTTTCTCCTTAGCGTGAGATTCCTGGGGAGCTTCCAATGTCTTGGGGTGCCTTGCTTCAATATTCCAATACCTGAAAGAAGGGCACAAGTGGTGCCCCTTAGCACAGTGGTTGTCACCCCATGGGTCACAACCCCTTTGGTGTGTGTGTGTCGAATGACCTTTTCACAGGGGTCGCATATCAGATATCCTGTATATCAGATACTTACATTACAATTCACAACAGTAGCAAAATTACAGTTACGAAGCAGCAATGGTGATTATTTGGCTGGGGATGACCATGAGGAACTGTATTAAAGGGTCGCAGCATTAGGAAGGTTGAGAACCACTGCTTTAGAATGTCTTTATTTCTGCCAGGCTCCTGACAAGTCTTACTATTTGGAGACCACCTGATTCAGTCTTCTGCTCTTAAATTTGTCTACGTTCAGAAACTGCTGAACTAATAACTTTTTGAGTAAACACCACAGGAACAGGGACCATACTTGTCTGTTGATTTTATGTGCTGCCTTGTCAAGGTCATGACGCTCAGACCTTACACCAGACACTGCTCTGCCCTTTTCTGCTGATGTAGTTTTAAATTGTAGGAACACTTAGATCAACCGAGTTTCAGCAAACTAATCTGTTATTCACAATGGGAATGAGCTTCATCCTGGGAGCTGGATGAGACTCATTTAAAAAAAAATAGCAACAGACTGATTTTCTCTCTTCCCACCCCTTGTCTATCTGTCTATCATGCCCCTTATTGATGGTAATATGTTCCAAAAATGTGTTTGGCAACTTTTGTTATTGTGCAAACACCACTGAGTGTATTTACACAAACTTAAATGGTATAGGGCAAGCAAAAGACTTGGTAACACAGACAAGATATGAAGCTGCTGTCACTACAGCATCATTGTGTTGTTGTTGTTGTTGTTGTTGTGTGTGTGTGTGTGTGTGTGTGTG